GAAGACAAACACCCAGAACATATGGAACATATGGGCAATCTTGTTATTTGTGTCTATTTATTTGTGTGTCACAGGGCCCCTTCAGTAGAGTCCTTCCGCAGGAATGCCAATTTATGGAAAGAACCTTTGAGACACGCAACGAGCTCGATGATCTTGCATGCCTTGCCCTCGTGCGATTCCACGGATGCCAGGCTACGGCCCGCGTTCGTCGGCATGTTCCAGGCGGGCACGACGCGCGAAGCAGGCCTTCTGTTGATGGGCACTATCTGCCTTCCGGGGTGCTTGGCACACGGCTGCCCACGAAGCGTGATTGGCTGCGCTGTCTCCTGAGAGATCCTCTCTTGCGGCTGATATCGCACGGTGGCTCTCGATGAAGACAAGCGTCAGAAACATAAGCAATGTCTGGAGGTGCGCGCGGACCTCCGAAAGCTGATGTTTGTGCAGTTTTTGTTATCTTGTCCTTATTTGTCTTCTTCTTCTTCTTCTTCTTCGTGTTCTCTTTATTTTTTCCCTACCTAGGCTCTGCCTAGAAGGGTTCTTACTGTCTTGACTTAGAGGGGCCGTGCAGTGGAAAACGCCCCGGGCGGCTCCCCTGGCATCCGCCCCGCGGTTCCCCCCAGTTACGTCCCCTTAGCTTAGCGTTGCTTATCTCATCATAGCTTAGCTTATTTCATCTTAGATTAACTTAGCTTCATCTTAGCTCAGGTTTATATTAGCTTAGCTTACCTTCATCTTAGCTTCGCCGAGCTTTAGCATAGCAGAGCACATCATAGCATAGCAGAGCGTAGCATAGCATAGCGCAGCACAGCATATCATAGCATAGCCCAGCATAGCATAGCATAGCGCAGCATAGCATAGCATAGCATAGCATAGCGCAGTACAGCACAACACATGTTAGCACAGCGCAGCATAGCATATCGTAGCATAGCATAGCATAGCATACCATAGCATATCATATCATAGCATAACATAACATAGCGCAGCATAGTATGGCATATCATAGCATGGCATAGCATAGCATAGCAACTAATGCTGGTTTCCTAGGGGCTCCAACTTCTAGATAGGGTCGCACTGGGGTAATTTCTTCTTCTTCTTCTTCGTCTTCGTCTTCGGCTTCAACTTCTTCTTCTATCATGAGCCCTTGTGGCTCAAAGCTGGCTTGGGTCCTTCACTCATGCCTGGCCTGGGACCAGGCAGCCTCTCCCATGGACGCAGCGGAGCTGCTCGACGCTGGGTGTCCTCGGCCACCTGCGCCCGCCAACACCTCGACAGATCTGCTTACGGAGCAGCATCTCACCAGGAGGCGTAATGTACGCATATGCTGGTACCTTGGTTTCGCGCGCGCGGTGCAGGCAGCCATCTGTGCGCGTGATTTTTTGGACATGTATCTCTTCGAATTGTCTGGCTCGAATGCATTTGTCGGTACGGTGGAGTCGGCGCGTGGGATCGCAGCGCTTGTGATGCTAGTGCCTAACGGAGTTCTGATTGACCGTTTCAATCGGTACATGCTGCTCCGCGTGTTCGTGGCGCTCAAGGGGATTACTGTAATAGTCTGCCTCGTTGCCATAGCATCTGACAACTTGATCCTGATGACACCAGCCCTGGTGGCGCGGAAGGTCGTTGAGGGCGCACTTGACCAGATACTGCAGGTCGTCATAGTTGACAACATCGCAGGAGCGGATGCCAGGACGCTCGTGCTCAGCTGGCAGGAGATGTTCACCTGGAGCGGTGCTGCCGTCGGCCCTCTCGTCGCAATCCCCTTGATACTCCTCCACGTGGGCTCCGGAAGTGCAGGATGGTCTCTGCAGCTTCTGCGAGACTTGGCGGCGCGCACCAGGGGGTAGCCCGAGGGAGCGGCCTTTGCTTGTAGAGAACACAAGCAAGCAGTGAGCAAATCATGCAAAAAAGAAGGAAAGGGCTACCTCAGAAGGGCCTTCTAATGAGGCTTTTCAGAAGCCAGGATGGCTTTAAGAGAGCCCCTCCCTTCTGAAGAGCCCCTCCCGCACTCTCTGAAGGCTGCCCCCCTCGCGCCACTTCCCTGTGCGCGCCGCCAAGAGACATGGTCGGATTCGGCATGCTGACGTACCTGGTGGTGGAGCCGGCGGTGCTGCTGATGCGCGATCCCGCTGGCGGTTCAGGGCCACGGCCCACGGGCAGCCAGCCGCGGGACGCAGACGAGCCTCCCGCCTGGACGGAAGCACGAGTGTGTGGAGTGCGCAAGCGCTGGCTGATCCCGATTTGGACCGAAGCGATGTCCGACGAAGAAACAGCTGCGTAGGCATTGACTCTCGGAGGCCCGCGCGCATTTCTTGGATCGGCGCTGGGCCCCCTCCAGCGATGCCTCTGGCGCCACCCCTGGCGCGCTCCGCACGCCGCGGAGGGGGTCTACCGCAGATCCAAGAACCCCCCCGCGGGCCTCCGACAGTTTTGCACCTCTGCAGTTATTTCTTCTCCTAGATGTGGGTCGGCTCCCAGCTTGGTGGCTCCATGAGCCTGATGTACATACCTCTCTTCCTCCGGCGAGACTTCGGCATCAGCCCAGTGGGCCTGATGGCCATAAGGTTTTTCGAGAACATCACGCTGGCCCTGATGAACTGCGCCACGCCCAAGATCACGGCAGCTCTGGGGCGCGGATGGGCCGCAGCCGTTTTCTTAGCAGGAGGCGCGGCGCAGATCTTCATTCTCGCAAATGCCCACTCCGTGTGGTTGGCCGGGCTGACGTGCGTGCTCCGCACCGCGCTCGCCCGCGCTAACGTCCCGTGCACGCTGTCGATCATCATGGAGTGCGTGGCCGCGAGGCATCGCGGCCGCTGGACGTCGATCACCTCCTTCAAGTCGGCCACGAACGGCGCGGCCTCCTGGGTCGGGGGCCACCTGGCCGACGCCACCGGCGACTATCGCTCGGGCTTCGAGACCACGGGCGCCGTTCACCTCGCCTGCGCGCTGCTGCTCTCGAAGGAGGAACATCGGCACAGACATGAGCTTTCGGAGGCCCGCGCGAATCTCTTAGATCGGCGCTGCTCCCCCCTCAACGGGCGCGCGGAGCGCGCCATGGGCCATGGGGCGGCGCCGGAGGCGCCGCCAGGGGGGGCCAGCGCCGATCCAGAAATTCGCTCGGACGGCCGCTGGACCTACGTGGTGGCGCCTCCGGCGCCGCCCCTTGCGCGCTCCGCGCGCCAGGCGGGGGGGTGGGCCAGCGCCGATCCAAGAAATCCGCTCGGACCGCTGAGTTCGACCAAGAAACAAACGACACCACCCCACCTACGGCCCTCCATGTTGCGCTACGGCCCATCGTGGCCGTAGCGTATACCACGCAGAACCCCCCGCCAGATCTCCTGGTATACGCTTTGCCCCGTGGGGCCGCAAGTGGGGTGGTGTTGTTTGCTTTCTGGTCCATCTGAGTGTTTTTTCTTCTGCGCCGACCTTCCTCCGTCGAACGTCGCCCCGGTGGCCCTCTGGCTGCCGGCCGAGGGTCGGCGGCGGGCTGGCCCGCCGCGGGGGCGGCAGGAGGGGCCGGGGCCGCCGGGCGACGGGGAGGCGCCGCGGCGCAGCCCGCGGGCGGCTTGCGGGTAGTGGCGCCCGCCTTGGCCTCCTGGTCCTCGGCCCTGTCGCCGTCGTCCTCGTCCTCGGCCTCAGCCTCGTCCTCCTCGTCCTCCCCCTCGTCTTTCCTCGTCCTCGTCGCCCTCGGCCTCGTCTTGCCTCGTCCTCGGCCTCGCTGTCCCTCGTCCTCGTCGCCCTCGTCCTCGGCCTTGTCGCCCTCGTCCTCGTCCTTGCCCTCCTCGTCCTCGGCCTTGTCGCCGCCGTCGTCGTCGTCCTCCTCCTCCTCGCCCTCCTCCGCCGCCTCACCCTCGAGAAATGAGAATCGGTATGAACGTAAGCTTTCGGAGGTCAGAGCGTATCGTCGTCGTCGTCCTCCTCCTCCTCCTCTTCTTCCTCCTTACTCCTCCTCCTCCTCTTTCTCCTCCTCCTCCTCTTTCTCCTCCTCCTCTTTCTCCTCCTCCTCTTTCTCCTCCTCCTCCTGCTTCTCCTCTTCCTCGAAGTGCGCACGTTGGCGTAAACATAAGCTTTCGGAGGTCCGCGCGCCCAGCGGCGCCTCCGCCTCTGCCACAAACGTATGCTTCGGAAGTCCGCGCGCCCAGCGGCGCCAGAAGTCCGCGCGCCTGGCGGCGTCTCCGCCTCCGCCTCCGCCATAAACAAAAGCGTTCGAAAGTCCTCGCGCCTTGCGGCGCCAGAAGAGGAGGGAGATCGGCATGAGCATACCGTGGGTTCGCGTTGTGTCGAGCAGGGGCCGACCCCGCCGCCAGCGTTCAAGGTTGAAGGCCGCGGGCGACCCAGAATCGGTCGATGTTGAACGATCCGACGTTTCGTAAACTGCCGATCGTTCAAGGTTGAACGATTCCCGCGGTGTCAGAAACCAGCGTCGAAATCGGCACGAGACGAACCTGCCGTAAGCTTTCCGGAGGTACGCGCGCCCTGCAGCGCCGCGGTGCCTTCGCCGCCGCCCCTGGCGCGTTCCGCGAGCCAGGGAGGGGGCGACGGGCACAGAGGGGGGTTGCGCGGGGGGTGGGTGGGGGCGGCGGCCTTCTGAAAGGCCTGGGCGCCCTCTGAGGAGGCACGGTGCTTCTTGGTGGCCCTCCCGGCCTCCCAGAAGCTTTCTCGGACGCCCCCGGGCCCCCCTCGAGAGGACCCCCGCCCTCTTCGAGGCCCGCCCCGCCCTCCCAGAAGCCTACCCTGGCATTGGTGCCGTCAGGCTGCCTTCCCTTGGATCTATATTCCTGGGCTTGAGGCGAACTGGGCCTGGCGCCAGACGATGCGCGCCAGGGTTGAGAAACCCACCCTTCCCGAAATCCAGCCACCTGGTGACCTTCCCACCCCAAAGGGAAGCGTCACGTCTCAGAGTCACAGAACCCCCCCCTCGCGCCACCCCCTGTCACCCCCTCGTGCGCGCCGCAAGCTCTGCGCGCCGGGCGAGTCCTGGCGGGCAGGGCCGCTGCGCCCAGGACATCTGGAGCCTCGGCTGCACCGTCATCGAGATGCTGACGGCCGAGGCGCGCTCGGGGCGTGCCGTCTCCGGCGGCGAGGGCCGAGCACATGGCGCCTGGCGGGGGGCCTGGTGGGCGGCGAGCAGGAGGAGGTGGAGCAAAGGAGAAAAACGGCGTAAACACAATCTTTCGGAGTTCTGCGCGGATTTCTTGGATCTGCGCTTCTTCTTCTTCTTCTTCTTCTTCTTCTTCCTCTAGAGGAGCGGCGGGGGGGAGGCTGGGTGGGGGATGAGGAGGTGGACGTGGATGGAGAGTGTGCGTTAAGAGGCGGGCGAGGAGGATCGGGGCGAGGACGAGGAAAAGGTGGGCGGGGTGAAGACTTCAGCGTCGGATTTCCCTTTTCCTCTTCTTCCTCTTTCACCCTGGCCTCGCCCAAGAAATCTCCAAGGAACGCCCAGGACAGTTTCCTAGAAGGGCCCGGGCAATCCCCAGGACGGTTCCGGTATATTTTCTGGGAGTCCGTGGGTTTCGTGGGAGTCCGCTGGTGTTTCGTGGTAGATCCCTCCCCCCCCCTCTCGCTTCCCCCCCCTCTCTTCCCTCTCCCCTTGAGCTGCTTTTTCCCAACCATCCTGTGGTGTGGGGTCCTCGTTTTGAAGAGACGGTCTCCGCGTTCCTCCTCCTTCTCCTCTTCCCCCTCCTCCACCGTCCGCATGCGTCCCGCACACCCAGTACAGCGTTTCGTGGCCCTCCTCCCCCTCCTCCCTGCGTTTCACCCACCCAGTACAGCGTTTCGTGGCCCCATGGGGATCTCCACCGAAGGTCCCAGTGCTACCGTCCGCATGCGTCCCGCACACCCAGTACAGCGATTCGTGGCCCCATAGGGAGCCCCACCGAAGGTCCCAGCGCTATCGTCCGCATGCGTCCCGCAGACCCAGTACAGCGTTTCGTGGCCCCATAGGGAGCTCCACCGAAGGTCCCGGTGCTACCGTCCGCATGCGTCCCACACACCCAGTACAGCGTTTCGTGGCCCCATAGGGAGCCCCACCGAAGGTCCCAGCGCTACCGTCCGCATGCGTCCCGCACACCCACTACAGCGCTTCGTGGCCCCATAGGTAGCTCCACCGAAGGTCCCAGTGCTACCGTTCGTGGCCCTCCTCCCCCTCCTCCCTGCGTTTCACCCACCCGGTACAGCGTTTCGTGGCCCCATAGGGAGCCCCACCGAAGGTCCCAGTGCTACCGTCCGCATGCGTCCCGCATACCCAGTACAGCGTTTCGTGGCCCCATAGGGAGCTTCACCGACGGTCCCAGCGCTACCGTCCGCATGCGCCCGCACACCCAGTACAGCGTTTCGTGGCCCTCCTCCCCCTCCTCCCTGCGTTTCACCCACGCAGTGGCCCCATAGGGAGCTCCACCGACGGCCCCAGTGCCCCCGTCCGCATGCGTCCCGGAGGCCCAATTTGGCATTTTCACCCACCCAGTGCAGCGTTTCGTGGCCCCATAGGGGGCTCCACCCAGGGCCCCAGTGCCACCGTCCGTATGCGTCCAGGAAATGAAATTTGGCATTTTCACGCGCGCAGTGCAGCGTTATGTGACCCCATAGGGGGCTCCACCGAAGCCCCCAGTGGGACCGTCCGCATGCGTCCCTAATCCAATTTGGCATTTTCACTCACTCAGTAGAGCGCTTCGTGGCCCCATAGGGAGCTCCACCGAAGCCCTCAGTGGGACCGTCCGCATGCGTCCCGGAAACCCAATTCGGCACACCACCCACACAGTACAGCGTTCCCACCCGCCCAGTGCAGCGCTTCGTGGCCCCATAGGGAGCTTCACCGAAGCAGATATTTACAATTACGGTACCCACAACTGCATATGGTTGGGACCTTCGCCAGGATGATTTTCCTCCCTGTCCTCCCTTCTTTGGTCCTGAGTGCAGCGTGGGCCCCGCCTGCGTTCAGCAGGCCCCCTGGCCCAACCTGCGGGCCGAAAAGATGTCCGTGACCGAGATGTTGAGGCGAATAGTGGACAGCCAGGAGGCTCTGCCACCAAGCGTCGCCGGGGGGGGGGGACATGGATGGATATAATGATTGTGGTGATGCCGGTGGCGACGATGGCTAATAATGATGACGATGAATATGACGATTAATATCAAGATGAGGACGAAGATGACGACGACCACGATGACGATGACGATGACGATGATGATAACGATGATGATAATGATGACGATGCTGATTCTGCTGATGATGGAGATCCGATGCTGATGATGATGCTGCTGCTGATGATAATGATGACGATTCTGCTGATGATGCTGATGATGCTGCTGATGATGATGATGATCCTGGTGGTGATGATGATGCTGATGCTGATGATGATGAGGATGAGGAGGAGGAGAATGATGCTGCTGATGCTGATTCTGATGCTGATGCTGCTGCTGATGATGATGCTGCTGATGATGATGAGGATGCTGATGATAATGCTGCTGCTGCTGATGATGATGATGATGATGATGATGATGTTGGTGCTGCTGCTGATGATGACGATGATGATGATATTTATGATGGTGATGATGATGGTGATGATGATGATGACGATGACGATGACGATGACGATGACGATGACGATGATGCTGCTGCTGATGATGATACTGATGATGATGATGCTGATGACGATGCTGTTGCTGATGATGATACTGATGATGACGATGATGGCGATGATGCTGATGCTGATGCTTCTGCCGATGATGATACTGAGTATGATGATGATGCTGATGCTGATGCGGATGATGCTGATGAGGATGATGCTGATGATGCTGATACTGATGCTGATGCTGCTGATGTTGACGACGATGGTGATGATGATGATGATGCTGATGATGATGATGATGCTGATGCTGCTGATGATGATTATGATACAGATGATGCTGATGATGACGAGGATGATGACGATGATGGTGATGTTGCTGATGCTGCTGATGATGATGCTGCTGATGCTGATGATGCTGATGCTGATACTAATGATGATGCTGCTGATGATGATGAAGCTGATAATGACGATGATGGTTATGATGATGATGCTGATGCTGATGCTGATGATGGTGACGACGATGATGATGATGATGATGATGATGATGATGATGATGCTGATGATGCTGGTGGTGGTGGTGGTGGTGGTGGCGATGCTGATAATTCTGGTTTTGCTGATGCTGATGCTGATGATGCTGATTCCGATGCTGATGGCGATGATGATGATGCTGCTGCTGCTGATGATGCTGATGCGATGCTGATGATGATAATGCTGATGATGATGGTGATGAACACTGATGCTGATGCTGCTGCTGCTGATGCTGATGACGATGACGATGCCGATGACGATGATGATGATGCTGCTGCTGATTATGATGATGATGATTATGATAATGATGATGATTATGATGTTGTTGATGATGCTGATTAAGCTGCTGCTGCGGATGCTGATGATGATGACGATGATGATGATGCTGATGAGAATGATGATGCTGATGATGCTGATGAGGATGATGATGATAATGATGATGCTGAGGATGACGATGACGATGAAGATGAGGATGCTGGTAACGACGGTGGTGGTATTGCTGCTGTTGACGAAGAGGATAATGAGGATGTGAAGGAGGAGGAGGAGGAGGAGGAGGCAGAGGAGGAGGATGAGGAGGAGGCGGAGGAGGACCGTCGCCATTTTGGCTCAAGGGGCCTGTTCCTTAACTGCTCAACCTCTCTCAAGGGGTCCAGCCGAAATTTGCTTTCGGGAAGAGCCCCCTCAGTGCCCAACTTTCGCAGGCGGGCTTCAGTGACTTGCCCCGTTCCCTGCTCAGTCTGTGTTGATGACCCGCAGCGGCGGGAACTACTCAGGCGATAAGGTGGGGGCAGCCTGCACTACATGTGGATGTAAGAAGTACCCGTCCCACTTCCGCTTCTGTTACCACTGTCGTGGGCCTCTACCTCGCCTGGGTAGTTCTACACCGTTTCCTCCTTCTGGTGTGTGGGCTCGCGAACCCTTGGTCCGCGTCGGAGGAGGTTCGGGGCCTGGTGGTAAGCAGAGTGGGGGCAAAGGGAACCGTGGGTGGAATCAGTCTCATGGCGACTTTGGCTCATTGTAGGGGGGCAAAGGATACCAATCATCGTCTCGAGTTCTGGGGGGCACGGAGGAGTTGCACCGTCCCCAGCAGCTTTGCTCAAGCAGGTTCAAGGACATATTGCCCCACGGAGTCGAGATCTGCCATTTCTTCCGCGTGGGAAGCTGCGCAACAAGCCAAACATAACGAGATGCCCCCGTCGCGGATGCTCCAGAGGGCCGAGCAAGAGCAGGTGCGCCGCGAGAAGCGGACCGAGAAGCTCGAGAAGGACCTCAACAGCGTGTGTAAGCAGCTCCAGGATTTGGCCGACAAGCGTGCTGACCTGGAGCAGTCCATCGCAGACGAGCGCCGCGCGGTGGAGGAGGCTAAGCTGGCAGCAGCTGGGCGCCTTCGTCAACGGGCTGCTGAGCCAGCCCCATGAGGTGTACCTGACCTGGAGAGCTTGCGGCGCCAATTGGAGGAGTTCCAGACTGTGGGGGTGCCATCCGCGACACTTTGGAACGCTCACCCTGGAATCATTGGAAGTGGTTTCTTGGTTGTATCATCTCATGGACATGGTAGGGTAGGTACCGTCTTCGATGCAGCAGCTGGTTGTTTTTTTTTTTCTCATGGGGCGACCTGGCAAAAGGACGGTGACCCATAGGCCACTACAGTGCCTTCGAGAGGCTCCACGGGAAGACCCAGAGAGAGCCCTGCAGGCGTTGGGAACAGGAGGTCGGTCTTGGGCCTGAGTTCTCTATGGGGCAGGGCCGCAGCTGTTTGGACATTGTCCGGATGCAGCGCGTACACACTGAGCTGGCGTCGGGGACACAAATCCACTATGGGACCCTTCTTTGGGACCTTGTCCAGTTCTCCGAGCATATCGGTCACCAGGAGCTGGTCAGGCAGGGAATCACGTGCCTCTTCCCCCTCCACGTCTTAGTGTACACTATTTCCACATTCACGTGGACTAGAAACCTTCTACTCGACGGGGCATATTCAGAAGGGATCACCCCCGTCCAAGAGATCGTCGTAGGGAGCACTCCGGCGACATGTGAAGCGAAAGCGTCCATGTTACCATCTGTGCAGATGTCCACGGGTATCCCAGAGACAGGTCTAGGTCTTCATATAGACGGTATCTCGTTCCATGCGTGGCACGCGGACGCGAAACTGTGCGTTGCCATCCTCGAGGCTTTGGCATCGACCATGGCCTACTTCATCTCCTCCACCCTTCGCGTGCCGTTGGCTGAAAGGAAAATGATGGTAATGGCGAACTCCACGAGGCTCGTGAAGGGCATTCGAGAGGCTCTGGGATCTCTAAGTGGTACTCGGCAGCATGTTCCTGGGAATCTTGGGGTGGCTTTCTCAGCGGGGAAACACCGACACACCTCTTTCGCGAGGGCTATCCGCATGAAAAAAGGTCAAGAAGTTTCGTCATCGTGTTGGGCGACTTGCGCTTCTCAAGCTATCTCGTCGGGTTCGGGCCAGACAGTTAGTTCAACAGTGGGTGTTTAACTGCGTTGTCTTACGGGATGGAGGTCCAAGGGGTAACGCCGTCGGGGATCACCCACGTCAGGGTGGCTTCGGCAAGGGCCTCAGGGATCAGTAAGAAGGGCTGCAACTTGGAGCTCCTGTGGACCGCCAACAGCTACAAAGGGGACCCGCTCTACTTGGCCTCAGGGCCCCTCAAAGAGATACGCGCGGGAGTGGTGGCACTTCAGCGAGCCTTCAGGCTTCGGGGGGCCTCGCCGCAGTGATGCCCTGACGCCAGGCCAGCTGAGTAGGTGCCTCCACAGTGCAGCTGCTACTCTCCAGACGACCCAGCGGGAGTCGTGCTTGTTTAGGGCCCGCGGCCCTGTGTCGGCCATGCTTTTGTGGTTGGAAGCTGGCGGATGGTCTTGGGGGGGCCCTGCTACCCCCGTCTCTCGATCTGGGTTCAAATGGATCCTCGCGGAAAGGCCGCCGTCCCAGGTAGCAGGGGCCTTCGCCCGCGACCTCCAAGATGTGTATCTTAGGCGGTATATCAGCAAGCACCTTTCCAGTCAGTTTGGTGACCAAGATATTTCTGTCCGTGGGCTGCGGCTACCTGCCATTCAGAGAGTCGCGAAAGCCATGGGCGGGGGTCAGCAGCATCTGTCTGTCCAATTACTGTCAGGGTCAGTACCCGCCGGAGCCCCCCTTGCCGAGTGGGGGCATGTTGTGTCGGACCGATGCCAGTTTTGCGGTGAGTGCGACGCGCTGTGGCGCCGCTGCTGGACGTTTACTCATAGGCCTGTAGTTGCTGCGAGGAACCAGCACTTCTGCCCGGAGCTGGTCGACCAGGCCCTGGCGGCTGGCCCCAGTTCGTCTCTGTTCAGTAGACTTTTGGCCCCTATACCCCGATGTTCAGGAGCCGACCCCTGCTTGGGTTTTAAGATTTTTTCGGCGAAGGAGGGGGGCCCTGCGATGCTTTTCCTTTCCAGCCAGAGGACGTTCTATTCACCGACGGGTCTTTTTTCCACGGGGACTTGCCCGAAATCGCGAGAGCTGGCCTTGCTGCGGTCCAAATGGAAGGCGAAAAGCTCGTCAGAGGAGTTCATTCCACATTGCCCAAGAAGTTTGCCCATCAGGCGGCAGACGCGGAGCGTGCGGGGCTGGCGGTTGCTATTCTACGTCGAGCCCAATCCGAGGTCCTTCCCAAACCTGTGTCTGTGGATTGCGCGGCTTTACTGGGTGGTGCGAGGTCTCCTTGGAAGGTTCTGGAAAGATCCCCGAGGCTAACTTTTTTCTGGCGCGAGATCAGCGGGGCCTGCAATGCTTGGCCCGCGTTGACCAAGGTCAAACCGCACCGTTCCCTAGAGAGTGCGACTGATTTTCGAGGACAGGTGCGCCACATCTGGTCCACTGGTCACTGTCTGAGCCCAAGGGGAGTCTCTGATATTGAAGCTGGAGGGGCTGCATATGCTT